CGAAACTCCGTCTCAAAAAAAAAAAAAAAAAAACTTACAATGAACAGAAATTTTTTGGCTTATCTTCTGGAGGCTACAAAGTCCAATATCAAGGTGCAGCATCTGGTGAGAGAGACAGATGTTGAAGTGCTATGGGTGGGCACCAATCCCACCCATAAGGGTGGAGCCCTATGACCTAATCACCTCTTAAAGGTCCCACTTCTTAATATTGTTATAATGGCAGTTAAATTTCAATATGGGTTTTGGTGGAGATGTTCAAACCGTAACAACAGGAGAAGTCAACCATAAGCTCATATGTAGTTAAAAAAAAATCTTAAAATGAATTTAGAAGATCTGATAATAATTGTATCTCACACACTATTAATTTGTATTTCTATGAACAAAAATTACTTGTTTTGTTAACAGTTTTCTGCAAGTTAAAGGGTATCTCTGTAGAGCCGTCATATATCTTAAAGATAAAGTCACAAACCTTCATAGAGTCAGACAATACTAGCAGGTTTGCACATCCCATTGAAAGGCTATCCAGTAGTCTCTTTTGCTCATTTCAGAGTCTTAAGTTTTTCCTTACAATGTTGAATTCATCTCTAAAGTGGGATAGTGGGTCTCTAGGTCATAAGTGATTGTTGTGAAATTTGACTTTATATTAAAGTTTAGAAGTCGTTTTGGTACGTGCTTCATAAATGATAGCTGTTGCTTTGGTGTTCTGTTGGTTTAGCCTTGCACTGGCAGGAGATAGATGTCAGGAAGTTGCTTAGGCACTGAGCTCCATGTTAGTTCCTGTTAGTACCCCTGGCCTCGTTTTGCTCTTTGTGGTCTAGTAGACTCAGCTGAGCTCCTACGTTGTCCTTGGTCTGCTTGTAGGTACCTTCCCTGTTTCTTAAGGTGGTAGGCTCAGTATTGCGGTGTCTATTTCTTATACTTTGTACTCAGGAAGTGCACTGCATCGATTACAGATCCTTCCTATTGCAGATGAAGACGATTTTTCATGTTCTTGACTAAGCCTGTGCTCTCTTCCCATTTTCTCTGAGGCAGGCTCATGCAAAATGAGCACCCTTGGTGTCACCTAGGCAGATGCTGACATGCTTTATTATTTTGAAGTTATTTCAGTCCCTCCCTTTATCTGCTGATATTGGGAGAGCTCTAGATGGTGGACCTGATGTGTCTTGTGGTGCTGCCCACTTGAAGGTGCCTGTGGAAGGCACTGAAGCCAGAAACCTTAGCTTTCCTCTCTTACCCAGGCTCCAGGCTCTGTTGTTTTTTCTTAGGTGTTTTTCTTACTAATTACCTCCTGGGGGTTGGCCAGGAATCTTTTTTCTTTTTTCTTTTCTTTTCAAAACTCAGTGTTGCTGGCTTGAAAGGTGAGGAATCTTTAAGTGTTTATGTGCAGGCCCTTTCTGTGAGCGTTAAGTAAGTTGCTATTCAATTGCAAGTAATTGCACCAATTATTTGGTAGAATGTAGGGAGGAAGTGGTGGTGTTGACAATGTCAGAAATGAAGGGAGGAGGTCCTTGTTGATCATTTGTCATGCATTGGCTAAAGTACAGCATTGAGGTTCATTGTTTATGTTCTTGTAAAATAGGCACAGTACCTGTCTTGCGTCTCTGTTGGTGAATTGCTGTTCATAATAATTTTATAGCTTTAGGAAGTGGGCTGACAAGGGAATAAAATATGGTATTGATAAGTTTTTTTTTTTCTCCCCCCTTTTTGGCAGAATAACCAAGTTCTGGGAATTGGAAGTGGTTCTACAATTGTCCATGCTGTGCAGCGAATAGGTATGTTCTTGTACGTTTGCTGGATGTTTTGTGTATGATGATGGGGTAGGGAGGTAGAGGAGAGGGAGGAAGTGGCATTGTCCTTTTGGCTTCAGCTGTGCAGAGCTGGAGAGAGGGGACTACCTGAAGTCAGTCGAGTGTTTCTGCCCTTTTGTGGAGAGAGGGAAACTTGGGCCTCTCAGCCAACTCTAAAGGTTGCCCATGCCTTTGTTTACTCTGCTCAGCTGGAGGGGAAGAGCTGACTTAGCTTGAGGTCCCAATGTAATTTTAATCATGTTGATGGCATTCTACTGTCAAGTCCTGTGTGTGGTCTCAGACTTCCTCAGGCAAATAATTGAGGTCACAGCGGGTTTGCCCTGTCTATGACCCTGGAATGGATGTGGGGCTCCTGCAACTGATGCCTAGTCCCTGCAGGTGCTCATCTCACACCGATTAGGGTGTGTCTGTGCTTAGGAAGGGCTCAGGAATTATCAGCCCCTATGGCTGCTCAACAGGTTTTACTGCCCTGCTCTTTGTTTGTAAGAACAAAGCCCAGAGGAGAGGCCTGCCTGACTGCTGAATTCTTCTAGGTGCCAAGGGCCAGGGCCCAGGAGGCAAAGTCCAGGAACACTTTGTCATCAAGGAGTGGTTTTACTGCTGGTGTGATGGCTTCTAGAAGCCTTATTGGCCAAATGGGAGCATTTGTGTTGTATACCTTTCAATCTTAACCAAGTATCTAGAGAATACTTTCAGGGCATAGGAATTACTATGAATTTTATAATAGTGGCACCCAAACCTCCCAAGATGCACTCAGTGATTTAAAAGACTTGACATTTTAATAAGACAGTTTTTTTCCTGAAATCGTTTTTTTAAAAATCAGACTTTCCTGAAAGTTACAAATCCAAAATGAAAAAAATCAGTCTCTCCTTTAGCTACCCTCTGGCGCCTACAGATAAGTATGTTTTTTACTAAAATGTGAAAATAAAGTTCTGGCTTTTTCCTAGAAGAGACAATAAAGGGGAGTTAAGACTGGGTGGCTAGATGGCCTGGGATCATATTCCAGCTGTGCCACTTATTAGCAGTATAGCTACCAAGTTACATTACCTCTCAGCCTCAGTTGTGTTATCTGCCAAATGGGGAAAGTAATTTAACTTACGTTTTGGGTTGTCAGGATTAAGAGCTCATACATACAAAGTTCTTAGAATGTTGCCAGGCATGTAACAATAGCAAACATTGACACTGCTTTCTGTGGTTGGTAATTAACTCTCCAGACTTTCTTGTGTCCCTCTCTTCTGCTGTGTGAAGAAGTACAGTCACCAGCTTTTCCACCAAGGAGAGGAACACTGAATGAAAGGCAGCTGACAGTGGAAGATAGACCTTCCCTTATCTGTTGGATTCGAGTAAACACATGACAAGAAAAATAAAGTGAGGAGAGTGAAAAACTGCCGATATGTCTTTTGTTTCCACAGCTGAAAGGGTGAAGCAAGAGAATCTGAACCTCGTCTGTATTCCCACTTCCTTCCAGGTATGTCCTACTTTCCATCTGCATTGTGACAGCTTCTGCTATATCTTCTGGTTCCTCGAGGGCCTTGTCTTATACCTCAAGGTTGTTCTAGCTTCAGAGAGTCCAGAAATGGGAGAGTTTATTGACCAAAGATTCCATCTTAGAATTGTAGTTTTAGGTGCATTTGTTTATTCACTCAATGAATATCCACGCATGTTGAGTTTAGGCACTACAGAGTAGGCAGAGATGGCCAGGTAGCCTCTATCCTCAAGGAATATTATTCCTATTTATAGGTGAAAAAAATCAGGCTAGGCCAGGTGTGGTAGCTCATGCCTGTAAACCCAGTACTTTGGGATGCCAAGGTAGGCAGATCACTTGAGCCCAGGAGTTCAAGACCAGCCGGGGTAATATGGTGAAACGGTACCTCTACAAAAAATATAAAAATTAGCTGGTGTGGTGGCTTGTACCTGTAGTTCCAGCTATGTGGGATGCTGAGGTGGAAGGATCTCTCTTGAGCTCAGAAGGTCGAGGCTTCAGTGAGCTGTGATTGTGCCAGTGTACTCCAGCCTGGGTGACAGAGTGAGACCCTGTCTCAAAAAAAAAAAAAAAAAAAAAAAAAAAGGCTAAAAGGAATTAAGCAATGTGTTAGTAATGCAAGTACATCATAAAATAGTAGGAACTGATGGAGGAAAGCAGTGGAGCTAGTTAAATATAGAGAGAGATAGAAAGAGCAGGCTTTGGGAAGTGGAAGGGAAGACAGTTGCTCAGCTGGAGCCAACTCTCATCCCACATCTGGCCATTGCAGGGAGGAGTATGCATATAATCTCTCATTGGATTAGTCAAGATGATACTATGCACTGGGGTAGGAGGTGAGATTTATACGTGACTGGTACTCCTGGGACTTTATGGACTTAGGCTTGGAACCCTCCCAATCCTGGAGGCACAGAAGGCTGGCAGCCTGCAACCAGCTCTGGTGAAGGGAGGGAGGTTAAGGTTCCTTCAAAAACAGACGTGGCGTTAGCTTAATGGTAGGGAGTAAGGCAGAGATTCCAGGTAGACAGGTGTGGGAGTTAGGAGAGTGCCTACTGTTGGAGCTTCCTTGATGTTAAATCTCTCGGAGACCCTAAACAAGGTGGCTGGCCACCCAGGGGACTGAAAGGAATACCTTAAGTGTTTTTTTATTGCTGCTTTTTTTAAAATCCTGCTGTCTTGAGAAGACACTTTTAAGGCCTCGGTGGCTTGTGGTGGGTTTTCTTGGTCTTTTGAAAAGCGAAATGTCTAATGTTTCTGACTGACTCGATCATCAAGTATTTTTATTTCTTTCTTTCTTTTTTTTTTTTT